CACGCACGCACACACACACCCACCTACACCCCCGCACACACACATGCGCACGCACGCACGCACTCGCGCACGCACGCACACGCACACGCACACACACACACACACTCACACACACACAAACACACACACACAAACACACACACACACAAACACACACACACACACACACACACACACACACACACACACACACACACACACACACACACACACACACACACACACACACACACACACACACACACACACACACACACACACACACACACACACACACACACCGCCTGCCCGCCCACCCACCCACCCACCCACCCACGCACCCACGCACGCACGCACGCACGCACGCACGCACGCGCGCGCGCACGCACGCACGCACGCACGCACGCCGCACGCACGCACGCACCCACGCACGCACGCACGCACGCACGCACGCGCGCGCACGCACGCACGCACGCACGCACGCACGCACGCCGCACGCAGGCATGCAACAGCAACCCTTAAGCAACCGCTCCACTGGCATCCCCGCATGTCGGCTTGATTTGCGTGTCTTTGTTCACTTTCCATTCTGCTTTCGGTCCACCCGTGGTTCTAGATTTTTCTGGGGCGCATGAACTTGCGTGAAAAAGACTTTAAACTACGGTGTTCTGGCGTGAACTTGCGTAAACTTTCGTTAACCTTGGAATTCGCATTTTCATTCGTTCAAAAAACGTTTTGCGGCCAGCTGCGGGGGTTTCGCGGCCGATTCACGGACATTTGCGGAATTGCGCGGCCATTTCTGGCTCGCGCCCTGGTTTCAGAAAAGGGTCGTACGCATGTCCAAGTTAACCCTTTAAAGCCCTCCACTCCTACGTTTGTTCGACCCGAATTCGCGCACATGCTTCGACTGAGGGGTTTGGAGTTGAAATCTCGTGAATTAAACATTAAACTCCAGATGGCGGAGCCTTGAAAACCCCAAACGGCCGCGAAACCCTTTTTTTCACATTCGAGAGCTGAATGGTTGCCGAATCGTGATCAAGTGTGTCCAGGAATTTGTAGCAATCTCTTATATTGAGCTGTGCCTTTTCGCAGAGTGAGAGTGGACGGCGCTATTAGGAAAAGCGCCGACGGTCTGAGCGCTATCCAAAAATGCGAGAGTTGATGGCTTTAGGCTTTAGCGTGAATAATCAATCAATCTAAAAGCGGAGCTGGATGATTATTGGCTAACGATATCTGAACATTCATCACAACTAGGTAAGTATTTGCCGACACTCGTCCGTCTCTCTGCCTGTATGTGTATGCATGTGTGTACTGTCATGTATGTGTGTATGTATGTACGTATGTGTATCTGTGTGTCTGTATGTACTCTATGTAGTGTATGTGTAGATATTTGCCAATACCAAGGTTTTCCTGCTTAAACACGTATCTGTTGCAGGTTTCTGGTATAGAAAGTTACTTTGAAGAAGCCTGGGGCAAATAATATGTATGTATGTGTGTGTGTATGTGTGTATGCCTGTGTAAATGTTTATATGCATGTATGTGTCTATGTATGTATGTGTGTCAATGTTTTATATGCATGCATGTGTCTAAGTATGTACGCATATGTGTGTCTGTGTGTCTGCAATGTGAAGTAGCGTAGGAAATGAAGGTAGTGCAAGGTAATGTAATGTGATGTGTGTGACGTGGGTAATGCATGTATGTGTATGTGTGTGTAACGCATGAAATTTACAGATGCGTTGTCTTGTAGTGCATTGTGTTGTAGCAATGTAATGCGGCGCGACGCGCTGTAGCGCAAGGCAATGTAATAAAACGTGATGTAACATAATGCGTTCGTTGTGTATCGATTAAGCTATGTTATGCTGTGTATGTGTGTGCAATGTGTGTCATGTGTGACATGCGCGCAATGTCTGCAATGCATTGCGATGCAATGTCATGTGTGTGTGGCTGTTTGTGTAAGTATGTATTGTAATGTAATGTGCTGCGCTGTGCTGCGAAGAAGTGTGATATTACATAACACGATGGCATGTATGTATCCCTGTGTATGTATGTAACAACATTAATGTAACGTAATGTGCTACAACATAACAATGTAATGTCTGTATGTAACGAAATGTATGTAATGTAACGTAACGTAACGCGATGTAATGAGTGTACTCAAGTAATGTTTGTATGTGATGCAATGCGTGTACGTATTTAAGTATACACGCATAAATGTTTGTATTGATGTAAGCATGTAAATATGTAATGTGTGTAATACATGTAGGTATGATTTGCATGTAGCGCATGTGTGTATTGTGTGTAGGTTAGTATGTGTGCAAGTATGTATGCAATGTGACGTGATGTAGTGTGATGAACGGCAATGTAATGTGCGTATGTATGTGTGTAATGTACGTATGTATGTCTGTCTGTATGTATGTAGGTATTGATGTATATATGTGTGTGATGTATTTTTATGGAGGTTTTGCATGTGTGTGTGAAATGTATGTATTGTGCTGTAGTGTTATGCAATGCAATGTATGTGCGTATGAATTTATGTTATCTTATGCTGTGCTGTGTTAGGCAAGTCATGTAACGCGGTGTCACGTTATGTGTGTTTGGTATGTAACTTCATGTGTGCAAGGTAATGTAATGCAATGTATGAATGTGTGTACGTCTGTATGTGTGGCATTTAAGTAATGTGATGTAACGTAATGTAACGTAATGTGCAGTGTTATGTGTGTTGGTATGTCATGTGTGTATGTATGTATGTATTTCATGCATGTGTGTGCGCATGAATGTAGGTATGAATGAATGTACATATGTGTGTAATGTATGTGATGTATGTGATGTGTAATGTATGTGATGTGTGTAAGTGTGCGATGTAAATGTGGTGTGATGCAATGTAAGGCAACGCAATACAACGCAATGTGTGCGATGTTATGTAATGTATGTATGTATGCGTGTGTGTAAGAATGTAAAAGTGCTATGTGATGCGATGTTATGTAATGCATGCACGCATGTAGTGTGTGTGTGTGTGAGTAATTCATGTACGTATTGCGCAGTGTCGTGGCGCAATATGCAATGTATTGTACTAAAATGTGAAAGTGCGTTACATAATGTAACGTATGTATGTGTATGTGTGCAATGACATGCGTTGTAACGTAATGTAACATAACATTGTGTGTGTGTCTCTGTATGTGCGTAGTGAAATGTAATGTGAAGTCATGCGGTGTAACGTAACGTAACGCAGTGTGATGTCATGTATTAATGTAAAGTACTGTGATGTAATCTAATGTAATGTGTGCGCAGATGCATATGCATATGTAGCTGTATATGTGTATTTGTATGTACGCACGCTGTTCAAAAGCAAGCCTTATTTTTTAAGCTTTGATTGAAGTATTGGTTCAGCGGTGGCTGGAGCCAATGTTTTAGCTTCATGCACGCGTGCGTTCGTGCGTTCGTGCGCGTGCCCGTGCGACTGTACTTGTGCGCGCAAGCCTGCGTGAGCGCGCGTGCAGGGAATGCGGCAAGTGTTGCGTTTTCGCTTGGGTAGCGGCCACCCCCACACATGAACCTCGTGAAACTACCCAACCACATGCACTCACGCCTGGCTACCCGGCCACCCTGACACAGCCACCCGGCCACGGCCACTCGCGCGGCCCGGCCCCGGCCACGGCCACACACAAAACAAGAAGTCCGCGAAAGTTGGCATGAGAAGGTGGCAGGCTTTTAGAAGAAGGCGCTTTGCGTGCTACTCGTGTACTTAGAACTCGCTGTTCTCGAGCCGGACCTGGGGGAGTACACTTCGCGTGCTATTTGTGCGCTCACAAGTCACGATGTTGTGTCGCCGAATACTCTTCGCGCACTTCTTTGTGCTTAAAAGTTGCTATTTCGGCGGGCTCGCGAACCCTGAGGCACGGATCCCAAGATTCGGCCGAGGTCTTTGGCGGGCTGCTGTGTTTTTCGACCTACCCTGAATTGGTGGTTTGGAGTGGTTGAGGGTTACCCGAAATGGGTTGCTTTGGAGTGGTTGGCATGGGAACGCACTCCGTGTATAACTTTTGCCTGGGTGTCGTCTGACTGGGGCGGCGCTCAGGTGGAGATTCGCGGTGGGCCTCTTGCGTGATGGCATCGGCAGATGTTCAGCGCGGCCAGGCTCTGGCGCGGACTCCTCCGTGGTCTCATGCGCTTGTCGGCCTCAAGTACTGCGTATCTAACCACTTTCCAAGATGACACTTGTGCGATGTACTACAGTCCCGGCCATGCGCCGCTTGCACTCGTGACCATTAGCGAATGATGTCAGGTTGCGGGGTAGCCTGGGCGTCGTCGGAGGTTCACGGTGGGCCTCCTGCGTGGTGGCATCGGCAGATGTTCAGCGCGGCCAAACTGGGCTTTCTCTTCCTGGCCGGGGCTCCTCCGTGGTCTCATGCGCTTGTCGGCCTCAAGTTCGGATTCTCACACTTTCCAAGTTGACACCTCGACTTGCAAGCCTTGTGAAGTTCATTCGTTGTTCGCTCGTTAGGAAGCAGCGGCACACGCTTTGGCACTTCGGTGCGGTGCGCCCCATTTGGCTACAACACGTTTCGCAGTGCTGGGTGCGCTTACCATGTGGCTGGCGTGTGTGCGGTGCTGAGCGGGCGCGCGTGAGCGGGTGTGCATGTGGGCGGTCTCGCTTACCAATTTGGCTGGAGTGTGTGCAGTGCTGAGACATTGCACGTGAGCAGGTGTGGTTTTCTGAGAAGTGAAGCTGCTAGGCTTTACCAAAAAACGCTGAAACACACAGCCTCAAAAAACATGTTCTCTGACAGGTTCCTTGCGGTTCTGCACAGGTAGTGTCTCTAAAGTAAGTACTGGAAATTTGAGAGCTTGTCTTGGCAATATTAGACAAACTTAGTCTTGGCAAGAATACAGTGAGCACTAGCCCAAGTCCTGCCCTGTCCTCCAGGGTTTCACTACAGAGATTTCAGATAACTTTAAAGAGGGCTCAACATTGCTGAGTCTGTTCACAAGTTGGAATCCCAGAACAACTGTTCTGGGCCCCCGGCTTGTATGTGGTCATCTTGTTGCGCTTGTCCGCCCACCAAGCAATCGGACCTCAAACAACAAACCGCTGCCTTCCCCGCTTCCTACAGTGAGATTCAAGGCAGGGTGCCGGGCGCCCTTCATCAATAGGCCACGTGGAGGCACCGTTTTATTGCAACCTGGCCTTCATTTTCTTTGGTCCCCCTTCCCTGAAGCGCAGTTGGAAGTATGCTGTGATTGAAATTCAGCAGTGCCCCCCTAAACAACCTACTTGTTGGTGAAGAAAAACCGAATGTTTGGGGGCCGATGTTCGGTTCAAAACGCGTGCTCGCGCAAGCTGCGTTAGCCCTCCAAGGCCCTGGCGCTCCGCGCCCCACATCCTCCGGAGAAACGGAGGAGAGGGTTGCGAATGGAGAGGGAAATGCCCAGGAGGAAAGCACTCTCTCATTAGCTGGATCCCCGGTTTTGACGCACACCCGCATCAAGTGGTTGGAGCCTTGAGGTTTGGAGCCCATGTTTGCGGGTGCTAAAATCGCAGGCTCCTGAGGCTTCTCCCAGAGACAAGCAAAATTACTCAAGTTCGACCAGGGCATCCCCATATGATATGTTTCCCATCCAAGAAGCACAGTGGGACTCAGTCTATTTGTGATAAGGGCAGCGGGCACATGAATATGCCTTGTGTGCGAAAATTCTGCGACACGTCCTCAAACGCTACATTGGGTGCGCCAGTCACATGGCTTTTTCGCCTCCACTTGTTCGTCTCAAAACGAAGGCTATCCCTTCAGGGGTTTGCCTCAAAAATCTCATCCTTGACAAGAAATCAAATTTAGAAATGCTAGTTGGCACACCCGTGAAATGTTGTCCAGGCAGGGGGCATATGTATACATCCAGTTTCGACGCCCATGTTTGGATGGCGCGCGTTCACAGCAACCACCCCTCCCTCAATCCCTGTGTTCTTGGAGATTTTGAAAACACCTTGGAAAGGGGGCTAGTTCAGGTCTGGGCAAGCTGTGCCTTAAATATCAGGGACCCTTTGCAAAGTCAAGCCGAAGGTTGTTCAAACATAGCGGTTCAAGTCTTCAACAAAGTTTGAATCGCCCAGCCAAGCGCCGACTACGCCAACTGGGCGCCAAATAGTGCAACTGAAAGAATTAAACAATTACCAACTTTGCTTGGGCAAGATTTTGCAATACGCGCTGTTTAGCGCAGCAAAAGGGGTCAATCATTTTGAAAGACTGCAAGCGCGGATGCGGAGCCCGAGCCCCTTGCTCCCTGAAACGAAGGAAGATGTCCTCAGCTTGGCACAACCAGCTGACATTTCTCATGTCAAAGGAAACCCTGCTGGCAGCTTGGGCCACCAAAGTGTGTTGAACGTGTCGAAGCACCGGTGGAACAATGCAATGCGATGGTTTGGATTGGTGGCCTGAGAATACCAAGCCGAGCCACCCGGAAACTACAAACTCAAACTGTGAAGCTGAATGTTGGCAAAGGAGCCCGGTTTTTGGCAACAAAAACGGCAAGGTTGAAACAGCAAGTTTATCACCTAGGAACTGGAACCCACTCCTGCCATGGCTTTCCCACCGACAACCTAGGCACCCGGCCCCGAAATGTCAAGGTTTTTCAGAATGTGCGGTATTTTCTGCATGTTTGTTGGCTTTGGGGCAAGTGGCAAGAAAGCGGCACATGTCGATGCTTCAGGCTCCAAACTTTCCAGCAAATCTTGAACCCACGACTCCAGGTTTCGAACTACCCTGGTCAGAACATGCCACAAAAACAGGCTGACCAAACCGTTTAAACCAGAAGAACGGTTTAAGCCTGTTAAACCAGTTTTGAGGAAATGTTTGAACCGTTTCTCAGAGGAAAGGTCCGGGTTCAAAACTTTTTTAACGGCTTAAGCCGTTTGAACCGTTTAAACCGTTTTGAACTCTCTGAGCGGTTGGAACCCTTCGCGAGGGGGGGGGGGGGCTCGGAGAAAGGGCTTAGCGGTTAGGGGGCCTTTCCTCGTGAGAAAAGGCTTCAAGTTCAAATGGTTTCGGGGGTGGTCTTTGGAAATGCGCCCTTCTTTTAGCTGCGGTCCCAAAAGGCCAAAAAGCCAAAAAGGCAGCAAACACTGGTGAATTCAGAGTTATCACGGCAAGAGACCAAATTCTCTCTCCCTCTCTTGCTGCTTGTCAGCCGGCTTGTTTGTTCTTCCGCGTCTAGCCGTCTCGCTAGTAATCCAACTCAGCACGCCTGCCTATCTGACTATCGAGCTTTCCCTCGCGCTCTACATGAATGTCTGAAAACGCCGAAGTGCAATCACGCTGGCTACGCAACACATCCAGCAAGAAACCAACTTAAGCAAACCATCCTGCGGAGACCTTCCTTCCAACGCACACCCAATTCCAAGTCTTTGAAGTGTAAGTTGTTTCCAAGAAAAAATAGCGGATCAGACACGCTGACGGGCGCTCAGTCGCATACTCGCTCAATTTTGTTTTCTTGAGCCCCGCAATCAAGTTCTGATGATTCAGGCACGTGTGTTGAGCAACGTGCGCACAGCTTGGGCACAGCCCCAAAATACTGCGATGGCAATTGAAACTTGGCGGTTCTCCGAGATCACGCGCAGGGGCCAGGGACTAGCTCTTCTGTTTTGAGAGGGTCCGGGTTCTTTTTCAACGCAGGAAGGACAGCGCCGCTTTTTTTGGTTCTACTTTTGCACGCAAATGTGCCGTGCAACAAGTTTCCCGCGCGATGCGCAGAATTGCAGGAACTCATGCTATATATCCAGAACAAACAAAGTACTGAGCGCAAGACGAACAGGGACATGGTGTTCGCGGTCTAGCGATGTCCAAATTGTGCCCCAGGGCGGGCGGAAGATGGACGCTTCCAGCGCCTTCTGCAACGATGCACTGCGCGACGCTTGCCCAGAGAGGCCGGCGCACGGGGGGCAGCAGGCCCCACCCAGCGGTCACGCCATCTTGCACGGCAGTCTCAGCAGCAATAGACTTTCGACATTTTGATTGGATTTCATGGCCTGGTTGCTTCTTGCGTAGGGGGAAATCTGGGACGGGCCCCAACACGCTGCTGGAAGCCGGAATGTGCATTCGCACGTCTTGCTTGAGCTTGACTTGGTCTGGGCCCCATGCTTGGGAAAAGGCTTCCATGTGGAGACTCTGCAGGGCATCTAGAAACTGCGAGGCCTGGCTGCACGCTTGCAGCCTCCGCAGCTTCGTCAAAGCAGCACGATCAAGTAATAGAAGGGGAAAAAGACCCTTGCCTTTGAAAACACCTGGCGCCCGCATTATTCATCAAAAGTTGCCTTCATCCAACGGGCGGTCTCGTTTGGGCACAACTTTTTCAGGTACGGGGGCCTTCCACGGAGGGAATTTGTACGCACGGCTCGCTAGTAAACGTGCTTGGCACAGTCCAAATTCAACCAGGCAATTTTCTCCGCGTGTCTCTGCGCGATTCATATGGATTATTGTCGCGGAGTCCCTGCATAAGCCGCGCGCGCTACACACATGTGCCGCTGGCGGTGTGTGGGCGCAGCTGTCCGCAGCCCCCGAACACCAAGCACATACAGCAGAATGCCACGACCCCGAAGCCACGCGGGCCTTGAGGTCCGCGAGCGCGAGCAGCAAGTCTGTCCGCAGCCAAGCGGAGGCTTCCGACGCTGCGCGCCGGAGAGCCTCGGCCTCATCCCGCTTCCGTCAACGCTGCAATGTGTAAAAGATGCGTTTTTCGCCCCGGCCGAAGAGCGGGGCCGGCTTTAGCTGGCGCGATACGCCGCGGCGGCCCTGCGCCGGACCACATGTTTTGGTGGTCCGACACCCCCCAAAACGTTGCCCTACCCCACCAACAAGGTAGTCTCTAATGGTTTCTAATCTGATGACTTCATGGTTGACAGCCTTGGTCGTCATGGTCACCAGGAAGTATCTTGACTATACTTTTCAATACAAATCAAATGTCGTCTTGACTGACCTGAGGTTCTTCGTCGCGGATGATGTGGAGGCCTTGTCATCATCTGTGTCACCGGCTGCTGCTGAGCGGCGTCGTTTTCAAGTCTCTGACGTTAACCGCAGGACGTTGCGCCCGAAGAACCTAACGATGAACTCGCCGACTTTGAGTCCGTAACTATCAGCCCCTTGCTTGGGAGAACGACCTGTTCATCTGATGAACATGTCATTATGAAGCTACTGGGGGGAATGGTTGTGTCAGTGATGATCCGGTGATCTTGATGTTGTATTCCTTCCATCCGAAATGTAGCTGTGGAGGCTGGCTCAGCGCAAGTTCCTTTCCTGGCTTCAGTCCATCCTTGAGAACTTTGTACAGCTAGTTGTCGCTGGTGGCATGGGCCATGAAGGACATTTTGTTCTCATTCATGGACCGGTTTGACGGCGCGCTGTTCTTCAACGCGCAGATCGTCGGAGCCTGGTTGTTGAGCACTGTGCGTGAGTGTCCTGATGGCGTGGCACTGGTCCATCTTTTGCGGGCAGCATAGGTGCAGCTACACGCCGGGAATATGAGCGCCAGCTCATCGTGAGCAATAGACTTGGCTTGTTGCCCAATAGGTCGGCAAGTGGGCTGGTCGCATTGATCAACAAATGCAAGTCAGCTGATCCGTCCTGATTGGCGTGTGCAAAACGTTCTCCCGCTGATGACGCAGACGGCCTGAGAACAATTTGCTGACGCCTTTCACCCCCCAGAGAGACAATGACTGGATAGCGTCGAAGTGATTGCCCTTTCGCGCAACATTGCAAGCTGACTCCCTCACGTCGATCTGATGGTTGTGAGCTACCATTGGAAAGATACCGACCCCGTAGTCAGCGAGCTGCTCATCGATGTAACAGGAAACGCTGCACAAACGTTGTGTGTGCTGTTGGTGTGTGCTGCCCTGTGACAGAGCGCCTCCTAAATAGTTCGTTAAGGTTTATGTAGTAATGGAATGCGTTCTCCAATCATCCGGTGAAGATCCACATCCTCAAGATGATATGGAAGTGGAAGTAGAACGTGCCAACTGACCCGACAAATCAGAAGCAGCAGAATGCTGTAAGTCCGAATAGAAGAAGATAAGATTGACGAGCGCGTGGATGAAGAACCTCGACATCCTCCTCAACTTGTACCAAAGAAGAAGGCATCGCCAAATACGGCCGCGGACGACGACTCCGACCCAGCGATTGGTTCTCCTCAGGATGAAAGGCCGCAGTTGCAGAAGAAGCCAGCAACCAAGGAAAGGTCATCACCCAACAGACCGGCTCAGGTGGCGTCCTGCGTTTCCACAAATGTTTGGTCTATCATTAGTTGGTTACATTTGTATTTTCATCATCACAGCAATCATATTCAAACACTAACTCATATGGATTGGTATCATAGATACTGGTACAAACATGGTAGAGAAGCTGTCGTAAGTGCTACACGTGAATGTGGACTTAGTGGAAATGCAGTTTGTGAATTATTGGGACAAAATCCATTACATTTACAAGATAATGTGCCAAGATGTAAATTTGATGATTATACCGTATGATGATACACCAACTCTCGTATTCTTTGATCTTTATGTCCTAAATTCCATTTCGCAATTCAAATAAGCATTATTAAAATGTAGAGGTGCTTCAGATGTTATTAAACTTGGAATATACATTTTTCTACATAATCCAACTCAGGTCTTTAATGCATTATTAGAAGTACAATCAGTACGTAAAAGTGTACGTATTTTGAAAGACTCCAAAAACTTTTTTTAAAAACACTTCAGAGACCTGTCCGGTGTGGATGAGCATCCAAATCAGTAAATAATTTTGCAACCAAATCTGGATTCATTCCGAGTTAATTTTCAGATTCATAAATATCAGCAAATGCAATGTACGAGTGGCAAGCCAGTTTTGCTGCCAAACGCAGCCCCTTGTGTCCAGAAGTGCCCGACTGACCCGGCTGGCAGTGCAGCCAGACCTCACACACACAAAGCACCTCAAGACGGACCATACCTTCTGGGCTCGATCCTTGAGCTAGTGCCACGGGGTATAGGCTTGGCCAGCTCTGCAAGCGTGGCAAACTGAAGCAAGTTGGCCTGAGATTTGCCGAGTTCGTGGCAACACAGGACGCGCCGTGGACATCCGAGCCTGCGCCCATCCGTCTTGGTCGAACGATGGCTGAGCATGGGCCAATGTCTCCAACACCACGCCAAAGATCTTCGTTTGCCTCAGCCAGTCTACGATAACTTTTCGACGCGCCGCCAAAAAGAATCCACGAGCAGGGCTGCTGCAGCTTGGGGCAATAATCAACCTCACGCATTGCCGATAGTGTGTCTATTCGGCCC